TTGCATGTCTGAATGATTTTTTTTAGTTTAAAATGACAAAATACCATTTTTTTAAAGTCACCAGAGCTAAGTAGTTGTTTACAGGACTTGTTCTGAAGTCCAATAGTAAATAAAAACTGCAATACATTCTTTTAAAATGTTTTATAAAAAGATTCCGTTGCAATGCAAATGATGTATTATGGATACTGTTTGGTATTATACCCTTTTTGTAGCTGGGAAATGTGTTGTAGGTGGACTACATGTAGCGATTACAGTGCTAGAACCTGATTCATCATTTTGTTATTCATCACTCTGTTATATATGTAGGAAGTGAACATTGTACCATTGCTCATTTTAAGTACTGCAGGTATTGAATATTTCACAAAATTGAACAGAATAGGGAAGTGCCTGTTCATGTAGACTTCCATGCATTGTGAAGCTCTGGGTCCTGTTGGGAAGTTATCATCTATATCTTGCAGCTCACTATAATTTGCTATTAGTGTTGATCAAAAACAAAGGGAGGCTTCAACACAATTACATATTTTATAATTGGAAAATGGGATTTTATGAATTCTTGCCAATTCTATTGCTTAGTTAAAAATGCCAGCTTTTAGATTCCAAATGCTGTGATGTTTGGTGCAATTTTAAATAAAGCAATTTTCATACACTAAAAAATAATAATCCTTCTTTGGCAATTTTCATACGAACACATGAAGCTGCCTTATACTGAGTCGGACCACTGGTCCACCTAGGTCAGTACTGTCTACTCAGACTGGCAGTGGATCTCCAGGGTCTCAGGCTGAGATCTTTCACATCACCTGATCCTTTTAACTGGGGAGGTGGAGGATTGAACCTGGGAGCTTCTGCATGCCGAAAAGATGCTCCACCACTGAGCCACAGCCCCTCCCTTTCCAAATCCCATATAAAAGGCCATACCCACACTTCAGTGGGTCATATGAGACACTGGTGACTGCCCAAGCTGAGAGCAAGCAGGATGATGAGTTGGCTCATGCATATGCAAGTAACATCTGTTAATGAGCATCACAGCAGTGCTTGCTACATGAGTTTCTTCATATTTATTTGAAAGTAAGTCCCATGGGAATTACTGAAAAGTAATTATGCACAGGATTCCAGCCTATGTCACAAAAACACATGCTTGGACAACGACATATGTCAATCAGTAATGTCACCACTTCTTGCCCACAGAAGACATTAGCCTCTTATCATTCCCAGAAAAAGTGGTTCCTTGTAGTCCTTAGAAGCCCTTGGGATTTTAATAACAACTCTACAAAGTAGGTCAGTGTTGTTATCTCAGTCCTGCAGACAGGGGACAGACACTGGAAAACAACAGAATTCCTAAGCCCACCTGGAAAGCTTGTGGCAAAGGTGAGATCTGAATGATGCCAAATGCTTCAGATTCTCCAACACAAGCTGTCTTGTGTGTAAGGTCATCACCTTCCAAAAGAACCTCCATAATTCTAAGCGCACAACATGCAGCTCAACTAACAACTTTACCTTATAGTTCTATACCGATGGCAATGTGTTGCCTCTGTTACAGCTACGTCACCAGAGACTAGCAAAGTGTCAGATAAAAGAAGGCAGGATGGGCCCTCCACAAAAAGACAGCATCCTACTCACTAAGCAGATCATCACTACAGGGAATTCATAGCTCTCCACTCACACACACACAAAAAACCAGTCTTCCTTTTACAGCCTTTAAAGGTCAGAGTGGAGTTTAAAACAGTCTAATCAAAGACTATAGAGATGTTCAAATTCACTCTTATGGTATTCTGCACAGAATATAGTAGTCTTATGCAGGTGTTGGTGGCTTATGAAGAATCCTGAAAAACTGCATCCAAAACTATACATGTTCCTAGAACTTGTGATGTGAGCAAAAAATAAATAAACTGGCAGACTCTGTCCACTAACCTTATTCAATGACTGGCAATGGAACTCATGACTGTTTGAAAAGGTTCAATTCCTGGCCTCTCCAGGTATCCAAGTGACTGGATAATATATCAGCTAGTTAGACCTGTGATAGCTATTTATGCCTATAAGTTATCACTTGATGTCGCAGCTGTCAAGTGAGAATGTGTCTTCCTGCCTGGACTCCAGCTTCTCTTCACCAGCATCTACACAAACATTGCCTTTCAGATTCTCTATCATATCCATAATCCTTGTCAGAAATTTCCAGCAGCTGAAGAGGTGCCTGATTTTGTACTACCCAGGAATTTTATATTAGCTTAAGAAAGGCTGCATCATGTATTTTGATACGGAATGGCTACTTATAAAACATGACATCTACATAATACACAGATCTACCTCCTTGGTTATAGCTCCACACTTACAAACGTATATGAGCATATACGGAGACCATCTGGATATTCTAATTTGTTTCATATTCTGCTTTGAAGATTTCTCCTTTGCAGAACCTGAAATTCTATGATTCCAGAAACAACAACAAAACGAAATGCTGCAAGATTCCAGACTCCAATTAATAATCCTGAGGTTCCTCCTTACTCCTACAGGCTTCTCACCTGGTAGAAATAAAGATAGATCCAGGTAAATCTGAAACAATTTAACTTTTGACAGCAGATGCAGCATCTACAGAGACAGAGCCTTCCCACCCTTTTCCCCCTCCTCCAAGCTTGGCACTAGCAAAACTGTTAAAGAACTGAATTAGTAACATGAGATTTGCCAAAGCCATGTCTCAGGCACTTGGCTTCAAACGGACTCAGAAAGCCAGTATATGAAAATCAAGAGACGGGGAAAGCCTCACCACTGAGAAAAGCCTATCTGTCAACAAAAGGGACCAGATAATAGCTCCACGCTTCAACAGCAAGAAGAAATGGGAAGCCCCTGGTCTATAAGGCCTCTTAGCTTCCCCAGGTCTACTTTTGTAGTAAATGCATCCTTCAGTCAATCCCCAAAGAGAGAAAATTCAGTGCTGCAGCCACAGCTCCTCCCCCTCCCTTCTTAGAGAAGAGACCTATCCTTCAAACATTGCTATTCAAGTCTTCTATGATGCACACTCATCCTTTGCTTCAGGGCAACAAGCTCCAGAAATTTAAACAAGCCACAGTGGCAAAACCACAGCCTTAAAAACTCTAATCCAGGCTTGGCCCACGACTGAAGGGTCCCATCCTGAGGTACTGGCTGTGCAGTCCCTCCACAACTTACCAAACATCCTGACCTTGGTTGTGAGCTAGAGGAAGGGTACCTTGAAAGCACTGCCCAGAGCACACACACACACCCATGCTTTCTAGCTCCCAAATTGGGTCATCATGCCCTAGAGTAGATAGAGTAGTGCAGATCCAATGGCCTCCCCTACAGACTCTATATAGCAGCTCTAGACTCAGGTCCCGTCCACACGAGGGGATTTGGGCCAGTTGCGGGACAGTTCGGGGGCGGATCAAAGCAGCGCGATCACACCACAACATCTGGGAAGCGTCCTGCTTCCGTACCCGAACTGGCCCTTTCCTGGGAAAAGCTGGCGCAAGTTGAACCACCTACCTTGGTGGTTGAAATGGAAACGGCGCTTCTAGCCGGGTGTTTGATTGCCGGCGCATCCTTGCGCCGGCACAACCCCGGCCCGGAGCCGAACTGTGCATGCTCCGACATGCGCAGTTCGGCCGGCTCCCGGTTAAAAGCCGCGCCTTAAGGAGGCTTTTCCCCTGCCGTGTGGCAGGGGCCTCAGTCTCAGATATCTTCAGTTTTTCTCCACATGATTTCCCCCTCCTCCTACCAGGCAGGCACTAACCTAATAGCAGTGGCAACAGTCTGCATAGGTAGAACACTGTGTCCTTCTGTCCCAGTGGTGCTATAATCCTATCCTGATACATGGGTTTGTACAGGGAGAAATTTAACACGGAGAGGGAGAAGGTTCTCTACAATGTTGGCACTTCTGACCTGGCTACAGCCCTGGATGAGAAGCATCTCATTCCTTCCCAGCACAAGGTCTGGCACAGTGCTCTGCAGGAGTCAGACAAGGCAAGCCAGTGCCTCTGATCTTTGTTCCCCACCTGCTGGTATGTTCAGTGCCATGACTGTCACACCAGTAAGGGGGATTTTCGGGAAGGGAAGGCATTCTGCAGCGATTACTCAATAATAAATATTTCAGCTCCAACTTAAAAGCACAATACAAATGTCAAGCACCATAGAGACTCACATGTCTGGGAGGCTTGCTAGTTACCTCTCCAGTGCATCCCCTCTGCGTGGCATTTGCCAGAGAGGAGATTACTTGGGTGAAGCAGCCAGCAGGATGCCCTAACCTCCCCTTTGGCTCTTCCACACAAATACTTCTCTATTATTTTCCCAGAACAAAAAAACAAAACACAGCTTCCTGGAGAAATAATGTGTCTTTTCCCCCTAGTTGCTCTACAAGCAATGAGACAGCCAGCTGTCCAAACTAACACCAGAGACTGCTCAGCACAACTGCTATGAAAGCAGATCGGGCTGCTGTGCCTAGGTTCAACTCAGAACCCCCCTCCCAGCTGGACTGGCTCTCCCATAAGACAGATCTCCCCCCAAACCCTTGTAATATTTTGAAACCCTAGCTCTGATCCTTTTAGTCCCATGTGCCCCGCTGTTGGTGGCACCCACCTCTTTCACCATTAGCAACAAACCGGCCCCCTGGTGCCACTCCCTCCTCTAGGCTGTTGCACAGGAATGAGAAGCATCAGTGGAGAGTATAAGGAGAGTAAACTGGGAGCTGGAGAGAAGGGTTTGGGGCTGTCCTCCTAACACTGGACTACACAAAGTGTAAGCGCAAAGGTGTTGCTGCCTAGGGTCTAGCAGAGTGAACCTGAGGTCAGAGGGACTCCGTTATCACCGGCAGATCCTGAACCGAAGCTTCGGGCCGCGGGTTACACCTGCAGACTCCTTCAGGGGGTGGGCTACAGGTGCCCGGGGAAGGTTTCGAAATGGCGCCTTCTAGATGAGACCCACTCCCCAATGGCGCCATCTGGAGCCCGTGCGTTCCTCGACCTCCCACCGCCCTGCTGCCGCCTTCCCGCCCCTACCTTGAAATCCGCGGAGAGCTGCGGCGTGTACTCCAAGGTCCAGAGCGCCCGCACCAGTGCCGCCAAGTGCTGGGTGACCTCGCCGGAGGCGGTTCCGGATCCAGGTCCGGCCGGCCCTTGCTGGTCGGGCAAGGCCAGCAGGAGGAAAGTGGCGAGCAGTTCGGTGTGGCTCAGGCACTGCACGACGGCGTTCAGGAAGCACGTGTTGCCGTGGTTCTTCAGCCCCTGCGCGCCCGGGGTGAGCGGGCGAGGGTCGCCGGGCGCCGGGCACGAGAGCCGAGCTCCTCCGCCACCCCCAGGTTGGGCGCGCTCGGGCCCGGCCAGCCGCCGGAAACCACCCTCGTCCCCCAGCCTGGAGTTCGCCCATCGTGGCCAGGCTACGGCGATCGGTTCCTCCGCCAACGGCCGCTGCGTCCAGCCTCCTCCTCGGCTACCTGAGCCCTCTGCCTCACTGAGCGCTCCCAGCTTCTCCGCCTGCCCCCCGCGACTGCCGGCTGGGCGGAGGAGAGCGGGCCGGGCTCATGGCAGCGAGCAGGCAGACATCCTGCTGCCGCGCCCCGCTGGGAAGGGCACGTCCCCCCCCCCATCAAGACAACTTGGGGAAGTAGGCTGGGCAGGGCGAGAGGCTGCTCGCGCCTGTAGAGTTTGGAGGTGCGTCGCCAGCCGAGCAACGCCCTCTGTTTGGCGCTCGCTCGCCTGGTTTAGCGGGGGGGAGCTGCATTTTTGAAAGCGCGGCAAGGCGTTGCTGCTGCTGCTGCTGCTAAGAAGTGGCGTCTGCTGGAGTCTGGCAGGCTCGCGGAGCGGGATCAGCTTGACCAGGTTGGGCGGGGACGGGAGGGAAGCGGGTACGTGCAGGTGCTGCCAGAGAAGGTGTTAGCGGCCACGGCACCGGGCTCTCTGGCGCCGTGCAACTTGCTTATCGCCTGCTCGGCTCGGGCACAAGAGGCAACATTAGGCGATCTCTTCTCGGAGGGCTATGTGACTGGGAAATCTCACAAAAACTAACCCGGCCACCTGGAGTTGGGCATCCCTTTCGAGTTTAAGAAGCAAAGGTCCTTCTATTCAACGCGAACATGATGTTCCAAATTTGTGCTGCACTGGCTTCAGCCATCAGCTCTCCCTGTGCGCTGTCACCTCAAACCCACAGATGGAATTAATTCCGTTACAGGAGCAGTGCAGTTGCTATTGAACTGAGAGTCCATCCCGTGCTGTTCCAGAAACGTTTAAACCTAGTAGTTATTGTGAGAGAGCCCCTAACCCCATAGTCAGTTCCCATGCCGGTGCCACCCCTTTAGTGAGAAATTACCTGATCCCCTAGGTTCCAATATTACAAGAAGAGTAGGGTACATGAGTGACCCAGAGGTGAATGGTTGTAAAAAGAGGCACTTAGGTGGATTACAACAGCATGCAAAAAGCCCAGTTCCATATATGGATGGAGACAGCAATCAAGGAACTGATATCAGACATGGATTCCAGAGCACATCTGTGCGCCCAGTGGTCATGAGAAGTAGATTAGAGCATTTGCACACCAAAAGGGCACACTGGGAATGCAATGTCAGTGAATCCATGTAGGGTTTGGTTCAGATTTCACCACACCCATGAATTTGCTGAGTGCTTTAGGCAGGCTGCTGTCTGTCTACCACAGCCCCTGGCCTATAGGATATAATAGTGACCTGCCTTCCTAGATTGTTGTAATCAGTGCTGTGTAATGAGTATGTGTAGTGCTTTAAATGCTCAGGAAGTTCTATGTCAATAATCATTAGTACAGCACACCCTGAAGTCATCATGTGACTGATGGCTTTAGCGTACAGCTCAGCCCCTGCTGCTGCTGCTTGATCCACATAACAGCACAATAAACACGGGCTGAGAGAACTGAAAGCTGGGGGTGTAATGCAGTCACATGACCACTTTGCCAGGTGCCATGATCTAGTCATGTAAACTATCTAATAATTCACATGCCGTGGGGCCTGGCAGTGGCTTGAAGGGGCTGTGCCCATTGGCTGTGTCCCATATATTGCTCTGGACTTAAGCCAACTGTGCTCTGACGTCTTGATTACTGACCATCTGAGGACCTTGAGGAACTCCAGTTAAATCATTTGTATGAGACCGGGATGTGCAGAGATCTCCATCAGAAACTGACTTTAAAAGGCCACCTTGAAGCTGGAAAATTTGCCTTGTGGATCTTTCTTTCGGAGGATTATTCAGCTTTCCCCTGAGCAACAAAATAAAAACCTCTTTTATTCCTTTACGAATACAGCAGTAGCTGTAGGACAGCTTAACATTATATGAACTTGTTTGGAGGGGAACAGGGATAGCCATTATGGGAGGTTATTCCTGCAAACAGTAGGGCAACAGAAACATTATACTGCAGTCATTCCTAAATTGTGTATTGGTCCATCTGATCATTACTTGAGGAAAACACTTGTTTGCCTAAAGTCATATGATAATTAAAAAGTCCGGAGAGGTTGTGGGCATACCTCCTTCCAGTCAGCATCCTATGATGTCAGGTAATTTAGTATTGCCTCTGTACTGGAAATAGTTCTGACACACCTGGTGCAAAAACTACCTTCCCCCAGAGGAAGTCACCTCCTGCATCTCTGCATGAGTCACTGCTCTGAGCTTGTACTTAGGGTATGAATGTAGGTCAATGTTCCCTCTAAGCTGGGGAGTCTTAGGAGCAAGAATTCTACTTTGTGATCTACTGGCAAAGTTGTGAGTGAGCCATTTGGCTACTGCATAAATTAGTTTGCTCTGGAGCCCTCCTTCCTGAGCTAAGACAAAAATGTGTGAGTTGGAGGCTTAAAGGGAACACTGATGTAGGTATGTATTTCCTGTTTTGTTTTGTTGGTGTATTTTTTAAAATAGTGTAGCTCAGCATGCTCTCAAAAGTTTGAGAGACACTCTTACAGTATCATGTCTGTTTCTAAGTTATCTTGGACACAATGTGCTCAGAGTACTTCTTGTTCAAAGCCTGCCAAAAAGAATGGAAATTGCACAAGGAACCAGTTTTCCATTTGTTGGAAAGATCTTGAAGAACTGGGCTGAAGACCTGTTGGCCAAGAGGAAGTATTTGTCTGACATGGTAGAAGGTTGTAGCTAGGGTGGGTCAGGCAGTTAAAAAGCTTCCTGCTTCTGAGCTTCCGGTGGGTGGATCGGCAAATAGCACACCTTCGGCTTGGAGGGGTTCCACCTCAAGTGGCACTCCCACGGAACCCTTGCGGTGGGTTCCAAGCCAGAGGGCTTTTGAGGGTTAGCCTCTTCGACGGCTTGCAGCCTTGGAATACAGGCTTCCCTCTGCCCTGATGGTCCAGCTGATGGGTGACCTATGGGTGTAAGCCAATCTGACCAGGACAAGCGCAGGAGATCAAGCGGAATAGCGATGGAAGACAGCGAGGTCAGAAGTGACCAACAATGAATGTGAGTGAGAGATAAATGGACTTTTTTTAAAGCGAAGGCCCCCCCAACCCCCGTGGAAAAAGCGGCGTGCAGGGAGGGACGCCTCCTGAGCGATTGAATAGATCAAAGAAGCGAGGGGGGGAGAAAAACAGTGTTACATTTTGAGAGACTTACTTGAGCTTGGATAGAGAAACGGCGAGTCTTTCGAGCTCTGAAACAGAGGTGTTGAATTGTAAACATGAGGGAAAATAAAACTGAAAGGCAGCCAGAGTCCAAGATTGGAAGAGGGAGCAGACATCATGAAGACGTTAGCGGATATGCTGAAACCGGTATTGGAGCAGCTCGGTGGTATTAACCAGCAACTGGCCACACTAAACCAAAACTTCGCCTTGCAGCAGCGCCAGCTGGCCGAGACGGAGC